TAAACAATGTTTTTCTACTCCTCTTCGGCTGAGAGGAACAGGCTTGCCAACTGGAGAGCAATCACTGCCTGAAAAAGCTTTCCCCTCAGACGGTTCATCTGAAAAAACAATGGGTGCTCTGAGAGGTATGTGTAAGGTCTCTTTAGAGCATTGTGCTGGGATTAGTATGTCACTGTGCTCATAGGCCACCTGGGCACTTGCTGGGAAGACATGCTAGAGCAAGCTGTCTGCTCAAGCTAGGGGACTCCAGCGTCATGAGCATACTCCCCTCCCCCCTTTAATATGTATTTATTGGAAGCTGACATGAAATGGGATGACCAAGGAGGCTCCTCAAGGAAGCTGGCTGGGGGAAAATCTAAAGTTCCCCTCACCTCAGAGGACTTGCTGGGGAAGCAGTCTAATACTAATTTCATACAAACTTAAGGTTTCAGTGCTCAGGTGTCTACTTCTCAAAGCAGCCCATTGCAGATGGGGACACTTAAAGGAGAAAAGAAAGCTACATGGCCCCCTCACCTATGCTCTGGGGGCCACCGTGAACCCACCCAGATGACGACATTCCCGCTACATAGATCTGACTTTAGAAGCTCCTTAAACACCCTCCTACCGCGGAGACTCCTAAGGGACCTCAGTGCCGTGCAGTGCTGGCTCACAGTGTAGAGACTGTTGCCACAGCAGAAACTGGCTGTAACTGATTACTCAGTTCTCTGCTTACAAATCAAAAGAAGAAAGTTCTGTCTAGCTGGTATAACCAATGCGTAAGGGCGAAGTGCGTTCTGTAGCCCAGCAGCAAAAGATGCTTGATCAAGGCAACGTTTCCAGTAATACTGCCAATCCACAGGCTGGCGAGGAGCTTCTCCCATGCCCTGTCCATTTGTTCATAACAGGTAGGAACTGAAGTGATTTTATTTTAGTTTCTGGGACAGTTTACTTTATATATATATATATTTTATATATATATATATATATATATATATATAGCCTCTCTTTTTCCTTTCTTTCTTTTTTGAATGGGTCTTACCACCCAGCTCAGGCTAGATGGAAACTTTCAATCCTCCTGCCTCAGCCTAAGGCATTCTCACCAAAGTGAGAGTCAGACCAGTGCTGACTCCAGCTGTCTTGTCTGTCTGTCTATGCCTTGACATTTGTGTTTAGCTGTGTCTATAAATCTAACTCATGTGAGGGCAATCTTATTTCACCTCTTCTTCACAGGAAAGGGTGTTACCCCTGGGAAGGTGTCCCTGGTTAGACCTAGCTGAGTGGTTTTGCCAAAGCAGAGACCTAGCTGGTGGCTGGCACCCTGACCTCATAGGTCTGTAGTCCTGTGCCAACATACTCTGTGTCTTTGGCCAGTTTCAGAATTCCCAGTCCACTGGGTGCTTTCACCCAGGTCCTGAAGGCTAGAGTGGCTCCTGGATGAGGGCTCAGGGAAAGCATCCACATATCAAGTGGGAGATCCAGGGAGCAAGAGGAATCTACTTCCTGTAATGTCAGACCCTGGCTCACACTAAGCTTCCCTGAGACAAGCAATTCAGACTGGAGTGTGTGCGTGTATGTGTCAGGGGCGATGACGAAAATCCGGCACATGTTAGGATGAAGAGTTAGGGGTGGGGGTGGAATCCATAGACTTGCCAAGAAGACTTTTTGCCTACTTTGTGGTACAGCACATCACATGGATACCTCTGCAGAGCACTGCACAGATAGTGTGCACCAGGAGTCAAGGGGACCGGCTGATTTAAAAGATGTGCTTCCCAGTGGAGACACGGTGGTACACGTTTCTCCTCCTTGCACTTCACAGAGAGCTGCGTGAGGATCAGCAGTTCAAGGCTACCCTTGGCTACATAGCAAATTCCAGGCCAACCTGAGATATAGGAGACCCTGTCTCAAAACAAACAGGTTTACTTCAAAGACAGAGCTGGCAGGCAGGGTAAGGGCCTCTGAAAGCAGTGGAGGTCACAGTAATGAGGCCTGGGGCTGGACCTGGTCCATCTGTTACTAAGCCCTGAGAGGACTTCTTTCAGACTCAGTTTCTCTGCCTGGCAAGCACTGCTTCAACCATGAGACTCCTATGAGTCTCCAACTCCAACTCTGATCAAGTTACCTTCTGTAACAACGTGCTCCCGTGCCTGACAAGAATGGGGCCTTTGTGACACAATAAAGGTCAGTCACAACCACATCTAGGACAAGCACCCCAGCTTAGTGTGACAGAACAGGTGGAAGCCATGTTTACACTGTAAATGTGAAAATATAGATAAATATCCAGAACAGCAAACTTAAAAAGTCAGTCGCTTGGGAGAACAAGGCAATAAGCTGGGACTTTAGTTTTTGTGTCTCCGCCCAGTGTTTTTTGTTTTTTGTTTTTTTTTTTTTTTTAAGATGGGGTCTTAAGTCAGCCTAGGCTAACCTCAGACCTTGAGTTTTTACCTTCCTGCTATGATCTCCTAAGTGCTAGGAGGATTGCACGTAAGTGCCAGTACCCCTCATTGATGTAGCACTAGGATCAAACCCTGGGCTTTGTGTAGGCAAGCACTCTGCCCAGCAGTCCATCTTTCCTTAGTCTTTCGATACCCACTCTTTTCCTGTGATGCTCTCTCAGGCCTTCTCCTCTCTGCATGGCCATACGGACTGGCTGACCTAAAAGAAAATACAGACGCTGTCCCAGAAGTCCACATCTAGATGGAGTTTCAGGAGGAGAACCCCCACAGAGCTGAGGGACTCTCACTCCTGTCTCACTGTACCCTCCTGTGCCCCAGGAAAGCCTTCTGCACCCCTGAGCCCTGAACGATGGAGAGGTTGCCTTCGCTGCCCCAGTAAGCCTGTTTCTCCACCACTTCTGTCTCGTTGGTTTTCAGCAGAACTGAAACAGTCCCTGATGATTCCCATAATGTGAGAGTTACCTTCAGTTCTGTCACTTCATCACAAGTTGTGTGACCTTGAGCAAGTGACTGAGCCTCTCTGAGTCTCAGACTCCAGAACCGAAAATGAGAGCATAAATCTCATCTCATAGGGTAGTTGCAGTGAGTCTGAAATAAATCGTCATCATCTCCATTACAAAACCTTCTCAGGCAACTGGCAAGGGCAGAAAATTAATTCAACAGCTCTTACAATACAGCCAGCAGAAATCTGAAGCACTCAAGTCAGGGTGAGGGGGGTTGCATGGTGTAGACCCCAACCATCACCTTCTCTATGAGCTGTACAAAATAAAGGACCAGGAAGATAACTCAGCAGTAGAGAGCTTGCCTAGCATGCCTGAGGTCCTGGGTTCAATCCCCAGGACCAACACTATAAGTAAGGAAAGAACACTAAAGACATGAACAGTGATGTTTTCCAACATGGAGGCACAACAACTATCTCTGCACACAAACTTCCCGAAGGCCAGTGGTGCCACCACTAAGTCCAAATAAGCATACCTCTGTGCCTAAGCTGTCTGTCCATCCAAGCTTTCCCCAAAGCTGCTTACCACTCAACATCATGGCCAGGATGCACATCTGGACCCTCGTTTGGAGAGTCAGGGTCTGGTTTCAAGTGGCAGGATGGGAGTTCTGGGACCTGATGCTGTGCTTTCTCCATGGGTCTTGGCACAGATCCTGTGAGGCTCTCGAGAAGCCCCCAAGCGAGAAGATTGGTCCACACCTTGAATTACCCCATAGAGTTAGAGAGGAGCTCCTTTTAGAGACAAAAAACTGCTTTTGTTTTGCCCCCAAGAAGATGCAATAAGAGAAGGCCTTCATTTCTGGGCAACATCTGGGGTCGTTGCTCTCCTTTTCTTTATCCTCTCATGCTCCTGAGTACGGGGCATCTCAGGCCACAGGCTTTGACAGCGTATGCAGACGTGAGCCTAATAAACTTCTAGTTTAGCATTTTATAGGGAGCACAGCTCACATGGGATCCGTGCAAGAGGGAACGCTGAATTTATTAGTGAGTACTTTCAGGGCAAGACATCATTCTTGCTCATCCTTCGCAATTTCCATATGAGAAAGCATAATAAAAGTGCTTGTCAGATTAAATCAGTTTGAAAGTGTCATAAAGCTGGGCTGGAGGGATGGTTCAGTGGATAAGAACACAGACTGCTCTTGCAGAGGACCTAAGTCCAGTTCCCAGGCCTGTAACTCCAGCTCCGGGATTTCTGGCACCTCTGGCCTCTGTAGGCACCTTCACTCACATGCATATACTCGCCCATGGACACACACACACACGTAATTATTTTTTAAAGTTTCACTAAGGAAGTGCACATGATAAGTCACAATGATCCTTTACATTTTATCATAAAAACTTCCTTCCAAAATAACCTTGCTAACGAAGAGAAATGGAAGCAGACTCTCAATGAGCTCAGTGAAACACAGCAGGCCTGCATGTGCCTGCCTCCTGCAGGTGAGAATTTCTGATCCGTGCCTGCTCCAACTTCAGCCTCGCTGATCCTGAGGGAATCCTAATCAATCTTTTAGCATTCCAATGCAATCAATTAAACAATGCATTTTCCTAACTCTAAATATTGTCTGCAGAGTAAAAATAAAACAAAGTAAAACAGAGCCAAGAGGCAGGTGAGATTGTTTCAGCCTAGCTGCCTGGAGTCAGTGAGCATTCTGCCATCACCAGAAGACTCAGGGTCACCGCTAGAAAGGACTGTCTGCCTCATCAGTCAATGTGCTCTCCCTGTCACAGTGTTTTCTCAAACAGGCCACACCAAACGCCGGGCTGAAGAGTACCAGTTGGTTTGACTCTGAGTAGCATCCGTCTGCTGCACAAAAAATATTTCCTATACTCTTGCTGAGTGACACGGGAGTGAGCCCTGACCCAGCCTAAGAACAAGCCGCCCGGTATAACCGGGGACTCTCTTGAACCAGCTCAAATGGTGATAGACTGGATGGTAACTGACAGAGAAAGGACCATTCAGACTCCTCGTGTAGACCAGCCCAGCCCTGGGACTGACTCCTCCAGAGTGTCCACAGGCCTCATCCCTGAGAGCCACGTGGCTGGCTTCCACAGAGGGGCAGACCATTTACCTTCTTGAACACAGACGGGTCTGTCACTTGGGACCCAGCCTAGGGTCCCGTTCAGGTGTTTCATACACAGTCTCTTTGTAGAGCCCTTCAGCTTGAATCCGTCCTGGCAGTGAAATCGGGTCACAGAGCTTTCAAAAAACACTCCTCCACTGGGGGTCCTGAAGCCATTCTCTGGGACGCCTGGGTCAGCGCACACGTTAAGGCCATCGAACCCTACATTGACAAAGAAAGAGAGAGAAGGTACCTTGAATATTTCTCCAGGGATTTTATTTCTGTGCCTTGGGCCTCTCCTACTTATGGACAAAACTAAGAGCCTTAACTTGCATTCTAGTGGCTAGGAGGGACCAAGGATGAGGAAGGTACAGCTTCTGTCTGCATAAGGTTCCAAAAGTGCCCTCAAAGGGAAGGCGTGGAAATGGTCAGGCCCTGCACAGACATCTACTGTCTTTCCTATAAAGTAAGAAAAGCCCCCACACAAATCCTCCCTGAACAGATATCAGGAACCAGGAGTATATGCGTAACTCCATGCAGATGAGGTTGGTGTGCCCATCTTCTATTCCCGGCACAACCTGCTGGCACCGGCACTGATCCTGGTCCCGGCACCGGCACTGCTCTTAGATCCAGAAGGGCAGTGCCCAGGACTGGTGCTTCTTGAGATTCACCGGCTTCTACCTGCTGCCTGGACGCTGGCCTCATAAGGTACCTGCTCCTTTTCAACACCCTGGATTGCTAAAGGTCCTCAGCTGTCGGTGACAGCCCTTACCCCATGTTCCTGTGTGAGGCTCTCCCTCCCTCCCTGCCGGCCTTCAGCGTCACTGCGTTGAAAGCCTCTCAGCACGGGAGGCACAGCGGTGGCAGCATGTCTGAAACACACTGTCAGAGCTCCCTCTGTGCGGAGGCGATGAGGGATGGTGGAGGGAGGGAAGAGCTAAGAAGGGAGACCGTGAAGGGGACAGCACCCACACTCCTACCCCCTAACTAAGAGCAAGTCTGATACTGCTTCAAAGCCACAAGACACCATCTAGGGAAGTTATACACGATGGCTTCAGGTTGGCGCGTTTAGGAAAAGTAGCTTAGGCCCTCCAGTGCTTCCCAGGGAAAGGCCGTCACTTCAGTCCGGAAGAACGCACATTCGCATGGCGTGCCCTTTGAAAAGGTCATTCTCTCTCTGTAAGTCACATGGAGCCAGTCTCTCTCTAATTTTATCAGGACGCGTACAAGTGTGTCAGGGGGTGGCCACAGAAGGACAGGAGGAGTATCCTATCCCAGAGGGCAGGGAAGCTTCTGCAAGGCCTGCAGTTGAGTCCTGAGGAGGGTGGACGCACCAGCCAGAAAAGATGAACATCACGGCTACCGGCCAAGAGAGCACCCATGGCTGAGGACACAGGACACTGGGACCACTACCTGGACATCCTAAGGGACAAGATAAAAAAAGCCTGCTTATGTTTAAAGAGGGAAGACTGGCAGAACCATGGAATTCTCTCTCTCTCTCTCTGGAGGTCCAGTATGAACAGAACATGGGAGGCAGCTGCCCTTGAAAGAGTTTTTCAAGGCAGAATTTTTACTATTGTTTTATTAAAATACTAAGAGAAAGCCAGTCTCAGTGGCTCGTGCCTGAGATCCCAGCACTCTAGAGGCTAAGAAAGGGGACCACTGTAAGACTGAGGCCAGCCCTGAGTTATGTGGGGGTTCCAGGTCAGCCTAGGATGCACAGTTAAGAGGCAGCCCTTACTAAAATAATTTTTTTTTAATGACAAAGATCTAAGAATCTCACACAACAAGGGAAACACGGTAGAGAATAGAAGGCTGTAGCTGAGGATGACAGAGGGGGACACTTCAGTAAGTTGCTGCTACCTGGATATGGGCAGGGAGGAGACCTAAACCCGGGAGTGCAGGGAATATTTATCTTCCACTGAAACAGAAGGGAGGTCTTGCTATTCCCTTGGATGAGGGAAGGATGTTTCCTGCAATGAAGGCCTCTTTATAATATACACAGAAGGGGTTTCTTCCCATCAAGATGGCCTGGATTCACCCTCAGTTTTCCTCACTGCCAGCAGGAATGCTGGTCTACTTATGTGTATCCTTGTCTGGTCTGTTCAAAGCTAAGCAGAAGACTCGACGTTCCTCATCTCCTCAGCACCCAGCATTGGGTGCTGTATGTGGTGACCACTTCCACAGGAACCATTAATGAAAGATGATTGGCCGGCCGTGTGGACGTAGAGATGGATGGCTAGATGTGCGTAGGCAAGTGGAAGGATGTATTCACAAATAAGTAGGTGGATGGATAAGTCAATAGACAGGGAGGTCGCTAAATGCATGAATGGATGCACAGATGAATAAATGGACGGATGGATACGTGGATGATGGATGGGTGAATACATGGATAAACAGATGAAGAGATGAGTAGGTGGGGAGACAAGGAGATCTGTGAATGGATGGGTTGACAGATAGGTATGTGGATAGATAAATGGCTAGATGGATGAATGGACAGGTGGGTAAAGGGTGGTGTGTGCTTATATGGATGAATGGATGGAACCGCATGCCAACTATTCTGCTAGACCCATTAGACAACCATCCCTCCTCCCCACCAGGCAGTGCTAGCAGTGGCCAGAAGCCCTCACACTTCTCAGACCAAGAGATGTAAAACGCTTTCTGCAGCACTCTTGCCTCTCTCCACTTTCCTGTGGACCATGAGCCTTAATCTTAATCTTCTTTCTTTCATTTCTTCCTTTTTTTTTTCCTTTCTTGGAAACAGGGTCGCATTATGTGGCCCTGGTTGGCCTGGAACTTGCTATGTAGACCAGGATGACTTCAAACCCTCAAAGATTTGCCTGACTCTGCCTTCCGAGTTCTAGAGTTAAAGGTGTGCACCACCACACCGAACTCCTTAAGTTTCTCCAACCCCAAATGTCCTAGCCTGTCAATACAGGAACAGGGCAGGTCTTTGTATGCCTTGCCTTGGGCTCCCCAATACATGGATTTTAGCCAGTCACCCCTGCTACCAAACATCAGTGCTTCTGATTATGGAGTTCCTCCAGCTGGCCACACCCTGTCCTTGGCCACAAAGCTGTTCTCTTTCAGAGAAGAACAGATTATTCAAGGAATGGCTGAAGACCCATCAGGAAAAATGACCAGATCCATCATGAAAATCACTGTGCTAATAAAAAAATGATGCGAGCTTCATGAAAATTACAATGGTAAAGTGAAGATTTCCTCATGAGGCAGATTTTTTTTCTTTACTTATTTCTTGTCTGTAAAGCACAGCCCTGCCAGCTCTCTGCTCTCAGCGAGCATGGCTGTGTTCCTTGTCCTGGCACACGGCTGAAGATCTGTAGGGCTGCTGGCCATGGCTCCAGCCACTGTCACAGAAGAGACAGGCAGGAAAAAGAGCCACCAGAAGACAGGATGGAGCATAGAGAAAATATTCTTTATTTGGACAACTAATCCCATTGAGCAAGACGGTAATTTTCTAGGCTTGCTAGATCTCGGAGTCTTTGTTTCAAATTATCCCTTGGTGGATCAATTCCCAGCCCAGGCCATTTTTCTACAGAGCCCTCTCATAGCGTCTTTCCATAATGATGATGATCAGCCTCGCTGATAACAGACCCATTAAGGAGTGGGCTGATGTAGGTATTCAGAGGTGTGGAAAAGAACTTGTGTGCAGGTCTATTCAGATCACCTCTCAAGAATCTGCTTTCCTAAAGCCCCAACATACTTCCTTCCTATCCTTCAAATTCTGCTTATGCTTTGGAACTTAGTGGTCACAGCCTGGAGGGCAGAATGAGTTCTCAGAGTGGTTTCTGACATGTTTGTTTTTGGGAGGAGTTGGAGGAGGAGGAGGAGGGGAAAGTGGAGGAGAGGAAAAGGGGAGAGTGCTCCATTTCAAACAATCCTCAGCAGCTGCCTCCTTGGCCATTCCTGCTATAGTCACTCTACAGTACATGTGTATGCAAGACACACTCAGGCATGGCCTAGGCTGGGATATAGGTGCCCAGATATTAGTCCCATTGAATAGGGATTGCTGTGTCATTTTTTTCTGGGCGGGATCAACCTGAGACCCGGAGGACCAAGCAGAGTGACTTGCCCTGTCAGTGTAGGTGGCTGCTTTCATGTTACAGGCCTGGATGGAGAAAGGAAGAGGAATAGGAAAGATTTTGTTCTCCCTAGCTTCTATTCTTCAGGCTGTAATAGTGGTCCTCTGCTTTTGGACCAAGACTCAGCTCAGGACTTGCATCACTAGCTCTCCTGGGTCCCTAGGAGATACAGATGATGGGTGGGGAGACAGGTGGGTGATTGGACATATAGACTGATGCTAGTTCTATTAGTTTTGTTTTTCTGCAGTACCCGGACTCAGAGGCTTCTATGTGCTTAGACACTTCTAACATGTAAATAACAGGGATGGTGACCATGCCTGATTTGAAAGGCCACTTCTCTCCAGATTTTTGAGTTCAGATAGACAACTGGTTCACTGAATGGGATTAATGCCTGAACCCTAGGGACTGGGCAACCCAGCCGGACAGCTCCAGCCTGCAGTCTGCTCTGATGCCTGCAGGACTGCTGGCTGCTCTGAGCCTGCACCTCCCCTTTGGGTGTCAGCACCACCAGCTCTGGTGCCAGTTTTCCTGTTGCTGTGAGCCCAGATCAAGCCAAAGACACAGCTGTAATTTAGACTCTGGTTCCAGAAGATGCCAGGATTCCATATTTTTCTTTTCTCTGAACCCAAATCCGCATGAGTAACAGGGATTGGGAGCCCCTTATCTTCTCACACAAAGAAATGCATCAGGCCCTCCGTCTGATGATGAGGTCTTGACACTTCTGGCTTGGTTACTTCTGAGACTGCAGAAATCCAGTCGACATTTCTACTGTGAACAACATAAGAAGTCTTTGAAAAGGATCATAAAAACGAAAGAGGTGTGAAAAGCAATCTTTTGGGCTATTACAGCTGAAAAGTCATATTCTAGAAAGGAAGAGTGTATCAAATGTAGCCAAATCAATTTAGAGCCAGGGCTGGGTTTCCATTTCTTTGTAAACTGCTCTATACGTCTATAGGGGAAGAAACAGGATAGAGACACAAAAATTGATTTTGTATGCCTTTCTTTACTGAGAGGGTATTGGGCAAGCAAGAAGGAGCCATACCTGCAAATGTTTAAACAGATATCTTCTCAGGTATTAAATAAAACTAAGAGCAACACCCAAGCCTTGCTCCCACTCGA